TCTTGCTAGTAATAGGGTTGTTAGGATATGGATCCAGTCCATAACAGTTTCCCCTCATCCTGATAGTTCAGAAGCTCGGAGTGTTGGGGTGCCTAAGTCTGATTGATAGGTCAACCCTACCGAGGTGCTATGATCCTGCCTTGGGTCTGGTACGACTACCTTTTCTTGGTTTGACTTTTTATACTAGCTTCTTTTCTCTTGAAGTCTCTGAGTGGTGAGGTGATGTTTGCTTCTTTTTGACTTTGAGCTCAACTTCTCTTGTTGAGGCTCTTTAATTTTGACTAGGCTTATTGTCAGTCTTTCATATAGGCGTTCACCTAAGTTTTTGGACGGCGTTTCGTGCCTCTTTAATAATTAACTTGACTTTGCACTCCCTGGCTTTAAGTGTCGTGTTTTCAAATTTGGCTCGGTCTCACATACCGAGATCTTTATTAGCATGGATTTGACCTTTTGCAAAAATGTCTTGTACTTTAGGGAGCACGACTTCTCTTACTGTGATTTCCCCCTTTTGGATTTGGCTTGCTGCCAATGTCTTAATTTTGGGAAGGTCTTTCGTGCCTTCTTCAATGATTAGTCTGGCTTCGTATACCATGATTTCTCTTGTTTTTTATGGACTTGGCTTCTTTTGCCATAGTCTTCAAATTTATTGGAAGGGATTGTGCATCCATAACAATTAACCTTGCTTCGAGTGCCGAGGCTTTCTTATTTGACTTGATCATTGTCGTCTTGAATTCGGTGATGTCGCCTTCTTTGTCGAACCCAACTATCATGATCGGGATTGTTTATTTTGAGCCCCATTTCTTTCATAGTAGCTTTTTATCGAAGCACAACTTTGTTTGTTGTTGCCTTTCAATTAGAGCCTCGTTTCTTTTACGATGGCTTTTTATGTGAACTTGGCTTTTGCCTTGTCTACGCTTTTGAAGGCGGTACCTTCGCCTTTCTAATTTTAGCCTGGCTTATCATACCACGACTTTTGTATTTATGATTTTGTCATAGTTGTTTATATTCCTGGAATTGGTTTTCACCATATTTTATTTGAGCTCAGCTTCGCATGTCGTGACTTTCCATTGTGACTTGACTTCTTTCACTAAAGCCTTATATTTATGGAGGCAGACTTCGCCTCTTTGATTGGAACCCGGCTTCTTACGTCGTGGTCTTTTAATTTGAGCCCTGCTTCTTTCGCGGTGGCCTTTTTATCTGAACCCGGTTTCTTACATTGTGGTTTTCTTATTTTGAACCCCGCTTCATTTGCGATGGATTTTTATTTTGAGGCTAGCCTGTTGGGCCGCAAACTTTGTCATTCGGCTTTGTTGCCAAAATCTTGAATAGGAGCCCGACATCATATGTCGCCTCAGTTTTTTTTTTTAAAAATCTCAAATTAGGGTGTGATCATTTTCCAAGATCACGATCTCTCCAAATTCTTCTTCTCGGATTGGGTATGATCCTTTTGCTAGAATCATATCTCTCCAATTTCATCTTCATATTTATCTCGGATCAGGGTATGATCCTTTTGCTAAGATCACATCTCTCTGATTCCGTCTTTATTTTTATCTCGGATTGGGGTGTAATCCTTTTGCTAAGATCATATCTCTTCAATTTCATCTTCATCTTTATATCGAATCGGGGTGTGATCCTTTTGCTAGGATAACATCTCTCTAATTATATCTTTTTTTTATATCTCAGATTGGGGTGTGACACATTTGTTAGGATCACATCTCTTCTTTTCCATCTTCATTTTGATATCGAAGCCTGAAGCTATGGTTATGGCTGAGTTGAAGCTCAAGGCTGAGGTAAAGCTTTAAATTTGAAGCCCTTAACTTAAAGCCCTTAGTCGGGCTGAGTTAAAGCTCTAAGCTAAGATCGAGCTTTTAAACTTTAAGCCCTTAGTTGGGTTGAGTTGAAGTTCTAGGCTAAGGTCGGGCTTTATTCTTGAAGCCCTCAGTTGGGCTGAGTTGGAGCTCAAGGTCGAGGCTGATCTATTAAACTTTAAGCCCTTAGTTGGGCTTAATTGCAGCTCAAGGCAAAGGCCGAGCTGTTAATCTTGAAGCCTTTGGCTGAGCTAAGTTGGAGCTCTAGGCTGAGACCGAACTTCATTCTTGAAGCCCTTGGTTGGACTGAGTTGGAGCTCAAGGCTGAGGCTGAGCTATTAAACTTTAACCCTTAGCTGGGCTGAATTGCAGCTCAAGGCTGAGGCTGAGCTTTTAATCTTGAATCCCTTTGCTGGGATGAACTCAAGGCTGAGACCGAGCTAATAAATTTAAAACCCTTAGTTGGGTTGAGATGAAGCTCAAGGCTGAGGCCGAACTTTTATACTCGAATCCCTTCGCTGGGATGAGCTTAAGGCTGAGGCCGAGCTAATAAATTTGAAGCCCTTAGCTGGGCTAAGATAAAGCTCAAGGCCGAGACCGAGCTATTAAACTTAAAGCCCTTAGTTGGGTTGAATTGCAGCTCAAGGCTGGGGCTGAGCTGTTAATCTTGAAGCCCTTGGCTGGGCTAAGTTGGAGCTCAAGGCCGAAACCGAGCTTTATTTTTTAATCCCTTTGCTGGGATGAGCTCAAGGCTGAGGCTGAGCTAATAAATTTGAAGCCTTTAGCTGGGCTGATATGAAGCTCAAGGTTGAGGCCGAGCTTTTAAACTTGAATCCCTTCGCTGGGATGAGCTCAAGGTTGAGGCCGAGGTAATAAATTTGAAGCTCTTAGCTGGGCTGAGATGAAGCTCCAGGTTGATGTCGAGCTTTAATCTCTAAGTCGACTGAAGCTGGGTTATTAATGATCTGCCAGTTCCGTAGCCCACAAAACTTGAGATGATACTTCCTTTAATAAATAATTCAAAATTCCTCTATACCTTTTTTCTTATGATTTAATGACCTCCGGGCCTTCTTTTGCTCCATCAAGAATTGCGATGACGAGAATCTCTATCACATCATCACCTACTTGGATCTGGAGCTCCATTCTAGAGTCTCTCGAAGGATAAAAAGCCTTTTTGGCGGTAGGGTTCGTCTGCTCATATAAATATATGGTTTCAGAAATTTTAGGGTACGCAAGGCAGTCTGCAATCTATGGCTTCGCGCTATGTCTTCACTATGGATGAGAGTTGAAATTTGCCGATTTCCCACAGACAGCGTCGATGTTCGGTCCTAGAGAACCGAGGATTTATACCGTATGGTATGCGCTTAGAGATATCTTAGAGATAGATATCCTGATTGGCTTATAGCCAATACTCCAATCACTGTGCACTATCAATAGGTGTGTAGCCAAGACGTAGGTGTATGCACAGTGCAGGCAATAAAAGTAAATAGGTCAAAAGTGTGTACCTGAGGTATTTAGCCTCTTATTTATAAGATTACCTTCATAGGCTTGGGCCTTTGAGATCTCCTAGTTGATATGAAATCTGTCTTGATTGATAGAGATATGAATCTTATCCCTTGATCCTGTTCTGGTACCTTTCAGTGATATCCCTATCCAATCTAACTAGAAATAGGGTTGTTATGATATAGATCCAGTCCATAACAAATTACTTCATCAATTTAATTTAGTGTATGATATGAACTACTACCTCGCATATGGGGTTTATTGTGTTTTTGTGTACGTGTTTTTTTTTTGAAGGGTTGTGTGTGTTTAACTTGTATGGTGATATAAGATTACATGATTTTTTTTCATGATTGAATTTCGAAGCTAATTTTTAAGTCATTTATATTCAAAAAGTTGATGACTACTTAAAGATTCTTTGTCCAGATTCGCGTGATGAAGAGATCAAAACACTCACCATTAGCTAATTTAAGCTGAGACTATGTCATGGTCATCAAGTTTTCTTTTATTTTGACTCTTTCTTGTAGTTTAAGCGTGCTGCACTTTGGTTTTCATGATCAAAGGTCCATAATTTTAGGCAATAATATAAAGTTTGTGTTTTGGGTTAAAATGGCTAAGTAGTTCCCATAGAAATATCTTGATTTTTTAACCATTTAGTAAAAAGAAATATGACATTTATTAAAGGGATATATTAATGATGAAAACAGCTTGATGTTGAATATCAAGACCACACTTGCACATGCAGCAAGGGCCACTCTGTTCGGAAAAATGATCAAGAGGAAACACTTACCCTTTAGACACTTGAGCGAAGAGTGAATTGATAATTCCAGTTCATTTTACTTTTTTTTATTATACTTAGTATAATTATTCAATTTTACTAAGTATTAGTACGAGGAGTGTGTTTAGATTCAATTCTCTATGCTTAATTGATAGATCTCTTATTGTGGTTCTATGACCTGCTTATTTTTGGAAGATGCTTGATTGGATGTCTATTCTCAGAGTCTTGTTATTTCTTTGATAAATTTGATCATTGATAGATTGAGCCACTGTCTGATTCTTTTATTGATGATTCATTGGGTACAAATTTTATACTTTTGCATCTCACATGCTCTTAAATTAGTCCATTGCTAGGGACAACAAAGATTAAATCTGGGAATGATTTGTTAAATGTCAATTATACTTTAGGACCTAAAGTATGTTAAATAATGTTTAATACGGTCAAAGACATAGCAAATATTAATAGATATAAAAGACTTTTCTAGTTTTCATGCTTGGTAAGATATTAACTGAAAAATATTCCAGTTTCATATTAAAATTGCTATATCAGAATATTGAATAGTCAAGGAAGCTGGAAGAAATCAAGACTCAAGCCAAGTGAAAGCCAAGTGAAAGCCAAGAGATGTATTTCACGTTGCATCTCACTGAATTTCTCGCTAGAGCAAGTTATTCAGTGAGAAAACATAAAAAATGGCAAGTTTTACAAGTTTGCTCGATGCATCAAGTAACATAGCGAGTTGTCACTTAATTTTGCTATTCAAGGAGGATAAGGAGGAAGATTGATCAACATAACATCGTAAATAAGGCACACATGGCATGGAGAATAGTGAGTCCAATTTTTACTTCTTATTTATTATTTCTTACATTTAGTTGCTACATGGATATACTTATCCATCCAGTTTATATGGTCTGCCTTTAGCAACAAGTGCAAAAAGTTAGGGTACAACATGGCTGGGTGCATCTATTGTCATCATTTACTCCTCCACTCCAACCTCCGCCATCCCCTCCTCCATGTCTATATGAGACACTTGCCGGTGACCGGGAAGGTGGTGTAGCCTGAGAAAGTGTCTCTCTTACGGCGATGGCAAAAATTATAAGCTTTTGACCATTTTTGCAGTTGTCAACGTTACCACTAATAAAGAAAAAGTGACCGACCTGTCCAAAAGGAAAGTTGAATTCCCATCGTCCATCGTATGAATGGGATTATTGTTGTTACATGAAAAATAATCCTCTTTCTTCACTACCAGAACTAAATCGTCCCCTTTCTTGTACTTGAAATCTGCATGCATCCAAAATAGAACATGAATATATATTAGAACCCTTTTATATATCCTTATTTCTTTGTAAAGATAAAATTAATATTATTAGACTTACATAGAATGTCATTGACTTGAAACTTGTTTTCTTGAGCCCATTGATTGTAATATTCGGAAGGTTTCACAACCCAACCATCTTTACCACCAATAGAAAATTCCTTTGCTGCTACTTGAGATGAGGATGATGAGCTAAGAAGAAACATCAGTATCATCAAAAGCAAAAGGCCGAGAAACTTGTTAGGTATTATATTACCAAACCCTACCATTTGCACACTGCAGAAAAATGACTGAGAAAAGATAATGTATGAAGATTGAATGGTGATATCTGATTGGCTATTGCTAAGAAGAGAAAGCCATATATAGGGTGGGGTGAGAGATATAGTAATATATAAGGAATGAGGATTGAGAGGAGATAACCGTTGTTGACTGGAGCATGGAAAATGCTTTCCATTGGGTTACATTTGTTGTAAATGGCATGAAATTAGAAGCAGTGTGAGAAAAATTGGGCATTTTGAAAGATGTATTATATATGGGGCAGGATATTCTTACACTGGTGTAAGAGTTAGAAGTCTTACACTCAATCTTGAGTATTGATCCACTTGTATCCAATGGCTCACATTACTAACAAATTAGAGCCGTTAGATATAAGTGAGATCAGCGGACAAGATTGAAAGTATAACTTACACTGGTGTAAAATGATCTTGTCCCATTATATATATATATGGGATAAACATTTCTGCAGCCACTTTAGATAAAGTTATCTACAGTTATCTCAAAAACTACGCCATTTTGATTAATGAAGGGTGTTTCTGTAATTTTAGGTGAATTAATGAAGGGTATTTTTGTAATTTTTTTATTTTCCTATCATATTCATTTTACAGAAACACCCTTCATTAATCAAAATGACGTAGTTTTTGAAATAGTTGTAGATAACCTTATATAAAGTGACTGTAGAAATATTTTTTCTTAAATATATATATATATACATATGTATGTATATGTGTATATTATGTATATATTGACTAATGAATTTAATATAATTTTAAAATAATTATTAAAATAATGTAAATTTTTTTGGAAAATAAATAATATAATTTTAAAAAGAGAAAGTGAGTACAGGCATAGGATCTAATCATATTTGACCGGTTGGAATGATTAAAAATAGTCAAATCATATTATTTTAATAAATTTTTTAAAATTATATAATTATATTAATTATTCAGCCATAATTTCAAATAGTATTATATTAATTTACACATGAAGACATCTAGGGGACTCAACGCTAATCCTTCTCTTAGTTTTATAGGGTTTGAATGATTAAAAAATAGTTAAATTATTTTTTCAATAATTTTTTAAAATTACAATATATTAATTAATCAGTTATTTATATATATATATATATATATATATATATATATATATTTAAAATGTATGAAAATTGAGAGTAGGTAACCGCGTGTAGAAAAAATGGGAGAGTTATGTCCTCTTAATAATAAAATTTAATAGAAATAGAGGAAATTGAAAGCTAACATTAATAATGAGAGAGAGAAAGATCATTTAAATTTAATAGAGAGAGAGAGAAGTTTTAAATTTTTTATTATTAAATTTAATGGAGAGAGAGAAGTTTTTAATTTTTTATTATTAAATTAAATCTTATTAATTTAAAAAGAAAATAATATATTAAAGAAAAGGAAGATTATACTTACAACCTTTTTTTTACAACCTCTTACAACCATATCTTAACACCATTGATTTTCGCCAATCAACGGTTATGATTTTCACAAATTAAACTCATTAATTAATTATTAATTCACAATAAATGAAAACCGTTGATTGACGAAAATCAACTGTGTTAAGATATGATTGTAAGAGGTTGTAAAAAAAAGGTTATAAGCTATGAAGCACCGACACTTCAAAAACCCTGACGTGTCGTGTCTGACACTTCCCGACACTCTCGGACACTCCGACACTCCAACACGCTTTATAGAAATTCAAAAAAAGGTTCAAAAGTTGCGTTGCGTTGAGTTTTTAGTTCCAACTATTAGATTTGTTGGATTACGATTACCATTTTATTGAGTTTGATATAAATATTTGGGATATCTTATGTTTCTTTGCAAAATTTATGAATATTATAAGTTTAGATTCATTTTTTGTTAAATTATTGAATATTAAATATAATATACACTACATAAATTAAAAATATTATTTAATATCAAAATGTGTCCTAACGTGTCGAAATCTAACATTTTTAGAATTAACGTGTCGGAGTGTCGTGTTGTATCATGTCACGTGTCTCGTGTCGGTATCGGTGCTACATAGGTTATAAGTATAACCTTCTTCATTAAAGAAATAAAATTGTCCTATTTGAATGGAGTGACGTGGAAGTTTTTAGATATAAAAAATTGCTCGTTCAAAATTCTTGCATCAGAAAAACAAATGAAAATCCCATATAAATATAGCTACTTTCATAGGGAAGTTCATTTTCGTAATTAACACAATTTTGTATTTGCTCTATCTATCATGTATGAAATATATAGATTTTTTCATATGGCTTCTCCTACAATTTTTTCAAAGACATTAGATCATTTTCTAGGAAGCAAAAGTGTAATTGAGAGAATAAGACAAAATAAATTACTGACTAAAAATTTTGTAATTGAAGATACGAGGGATCCATATGCTAGTGTAAAGATATGATACTTTCTTTCTCACTTTAATTTTTTTTTTTTTTTTTTTAAAACCCCAAAATGATGTTATTTTGGAGTTTGAAAGACTTCTTGGTAAATTTGATTCTCTCTTACAATTGAATTTTATCAAAAATACCTTTTTTTTTTCAAATTCCAAAATAATAGATTGCAGAAAATAACTTTATCACTTATGACAGAAAAAATATTAAATGCATTTTAAAAAAAAATCCATGAAATATATAAGTTTGTAAGATTTCATCAAATTTGAAAATGTTAATACTTTTTTTAGTTACTTTATTAATTTAATTTGGTTTGATGTTAGTGTAAAATACACATTTAGGGATCAAAAGTGCAATTAAGAAAAAAAAATACAAAAGTTAGGGAATAAGATATTTGTAATAGAAGATATGGAGGGTCTGTATTCTAGTGTGAGACTTGATACCCTTTCTTTTACACTAAAAAATGATTTCCATGAGATATATGAGTTCATAAATGGGTGCAGCTCAGTTGGTAACTTGACGCTGAGTTAGTGGGGTTGGATATGTGTTCGATTCCCGCTGAATGCATTCTTGGGGAGGGGGCTGAACCTTTAGGCATCACTGTTCCTCCACACTCCGGATTAGTCCCATAGCCGGCTCAAAGAGTCGAAGCTCGTGGGGATACCGGAGAGAGCCAACTCGTCTCAAAGAGATAATTAGGGTTGGGTAACTCCAAAAAAATAAATTTCATCACATTTTAAAATCGATTAATGCTTTGTTTAATTACTTCATTAATTTAATTTAGTTTAGGTATGATATGGACTACTACCTCGCAGATGGGGTTTCTTGTGTTTTTGGGCATTCGTGTGTGTGTTTTTTTTTTTTTTTTTTTTGGGAAATAGAAACTTAAAAATTCTTTGCCTGTGAAGGGGGTTTAAGTGCCCGGTAAGGGGGCTTAAGGCCCCAACCCCATTTTTAAGAAAAAGTAATTATCTCTTGAAATAAGTAATAAGGACTCTCTACACGGTTAAACATAGTAAATAATGTTAAACATAGTTTTAGTTATTCCACAATTTTACACGGTTATAATAATGAAATTGGTAGATTAAATTACGGTCTTGTTAATAAAGAAAATGAGCAATGTTTTAAAAAGAAAAAATTATCCGTATTCTTAATTGAATCAATGAGATTGTAATTGCGATTAATATTATAAAATAATGATAAAAAGATCGATTCTAAAACGGGATGTTACATTATGTGTGTTTAACTTGTATGATATAAGATTACATGATTTTTTTTCGTTATTGAATTTCAAAGCTAATTTTTAAGTCATTTATATTCAGAAAGTTGATGACTACTTAAAAATTCCTTGTCCAAATTCGCATGATGAAGAGACCAAAACACTCACCATTAGCTAATTTAAGTTGAGACTATGTCATGGTCATCAAGTTTTCTTTTATTTTGACTCTTTCTTGTAGTTTAAGCGTGCTGCACTTTGGTTTTCATGATCAAAGGTCTATAATTTTAGGCAATAGTATAAAGTTTGTGTTTTGGGTTAGAATGGCTAAGTAGTTCCCATAGAAATATCTTGATTTTTTTAACCATTTAGTAAAAATAAATATGACATCCATTAAAGGGGGATATATTAATGATGAAAACAGCTTGATGTTGAATATCAAGACCACACTTGCACATGCAGCAAGGGCCACTCTATTGGGAAAAATGATCAAGAGGAAACAATTTGTTTAATATGAAAGCTTCAAAAACCACAACAATATGAAATTCAACATGAAAACAAGAAATAAATTTGATCCCAAGGGTTACCTTCATTTCCTTAAAATATTTTGTTCTGTCTGTGGAGCCCAAAAATAATGGATAATTGTTTCTATAAAATAAATTACCTCTTGTGCAATTGGCGGAACTACCACGGCAAAAGCTCCTTCGAATCAACAAAATGGTCGAATGATCAACGTACAAAATATATATATATTTTTTAAGAAAATTTTCTATTTATAGAATAGGTTGGCCATGTCAATAAACATTTATGACCATTACCGTTTATGTTTGTTGATATTTATGGCGGTTACGTTCGAAAAATCTCATTCAAAAATTCAAATTTTCTTCTGCGTTAATGACTATTGAAAGGAACCACATGAACAATTTTAAAGAATTTCCATTAAGCAAATTTGGGGATTAAACAAATAGGTGAGGGTATTTTGAATAAAAATAAAATCAAAATTATTTCAAAGCAAATGATAAAGCGTGTATGTACGTGGTGGACTAAGCATCACCTAATTAAACTTCTTCCATCACCCTCTTTGTCCAATATGGCACTTCTTTCTACATTGATTCCCATTCCTTATTCCTTTATCTCATTCTTCTTTTAACTAACTTGTTATTCATAACCATTGCATTCTACGCAAGAATTATTATTATTATTATTATTTTGTATAAACTACGCAATAATTCTTATACACTCATTGTCACTTTATATAGCACCCATTAAGCATATCACATACCTTCCACTCAGCAGCTAGTGATATATTTTCATAGTAGGCGGTTTTAATTTTATTTTATTAACTAAAAATAAAAAAATCATTTATA